ATTATATGAATCCTATTTATTTGCAGCCCAGCACTAACCTTTTTTTTTTTTAAGAGTCATGTGCTTAAAAAGCTAGTGGACAATTTGTTAGAAGATAGAAATCCTCTTAGATTTTGGTACTAAATTCAAATCTTGGTTAGTGGTGAATGAAAATTCCTCTTAAAATTTAAAATACAGTGATATAAAGTTTTAAAAATAGTTAAATTTTAGTTGATTTCATTAAACACTATAACAGTTATTTACCTTTAACCTGTTTCTGGGGCAATTTTGCAATGATTCCCTCTTCATTGATTCTCTCTTTATCAGAGTCCTTGAGAGGCCCCTGTCATCAATGTCAGTATCATCATCATCATCATCATCATGATAGAACGGATTCCTCTGGAAGATTCTAGAAAAATAAAGAGATGGATGGGGAGACACATAGGTGAGTGTGTGCGTATACACTGAGAACAATTATTAGACGTTAGCTCCACAATATCCATTCCATTTAGAGAAGAATGTTTTCATGAAATCCTGATGTGGTGAACGAAGGAAGCAGTGGGAACAGGATGGTCAATGGAAAGGAGGAGGAAGTGAGCAAAGCTGGGAGCATAGATCCTCTGTTAGGAGACCAGCACGTTGGTGTGAATGAAGGGACTGTGGTGGCAGAACAATGTGACCCTCACCCCCACAGGGAAGCCACCTGTGACATGTTACTGTAGGCAGTAAAGGGGATGACAGGCATTTTAGGACAAAAATCTTAAAAATCTTAGAGGATTTTCCTTCTAAATTGGCTATTTTATTAGCCTTTTAATACGTTGTTAAAGATTAGTGCCGGGTTACAAATAAACAGGATTTGTATAATCTCACCAGACGTACTGAATGTGGAAAGACTAAGGAAGAAAAACAAAAAGCCGTTCACAAGTGTCTTGAACTTTTAATTGCTCACGAGAGGAAATGTTACCCAAGGTGAGTGTCACAGCCACATACATAATGCCTGAGTGGGGTCGGACAAGGGGATCCTGAGATGAGGTGATAGGGAGAGTAGCCTGGATTTTCCAGGTGGGTCCAGTGTAATCACAGGGGTCTTTACAATCATAGGACATTTCCCATCTGAGTTTAGGATCAGAGGGAGGTGCAGCCATGGAGCGATGTTCAGAAAGGCTGTTGGCCATGAAGATGAAGGAAGTCGTGGGGCACAAGCTAAGGAAGGTGAGTGACTGCTGGAAACTGGAAACAAACAAACAAACAAGGAAACATTTTCTTCTAGATACTCTAGAAGGAAGGCACCCTGCTGGTACCTTGAATTTAGCCCAATGAGAACTGTGTTGGATCTCTGACCTCCACAGCCATAAGGTGATAAATCTGTGCTGGTTTAAGCTATTAAGCTTATGGAAATTTGTTACAGTGGTAATAGAAAAATAACATAGTGAGCGGTAGTGTAAGGGATTAAAGGTCTAGTATAGGGTGTGGAGAGGGTTCTGACATTTACACCTAAAAAACAACCAGGTGAAGTGGGAAGGTGTTTTAAGGAAGACCTACCTGGCAGGGCTGTTAAGCAGACTGTTTGGAGTGAGGAGAGCATTGGAGTAGAGGAATCAATTAAATCTCTACCAGAAAAATAAGGAATAAAATCTAACAGGGCTTCAGTGTTACTGGATGTAGGAATGGGAATGGACAGAGAGATATAAACATTACTTTGAAATTAGCTACAGGTTTGATGACTGCATGTTGGGGAGAGTTAGCCAATGTGTGGACTGAATGCATCCCCTCAAAATCCTTATTTTGAAACCCCATCTCCCAGGGTGATGGTATTGGGAGGCGGGGTCTTTGGGAGGTAATTAGTAGGATAAAATGAAGTCAAGAGAGTAGAGCCCTCATGAATGGGATTAGGGCACTTATAAGGGGCCCCAGAGTGCTTGCTTCTCTTTGCTCTCCACTCCATGAAGATAGTGGGAAGACAGCCATCTTCAAGCCATGAAGGCAGTCCTCTCTCAGATACCTTGATCTTGAATGTCTCTGCCTCCAAAACTTGAGGAATATGCTGGCTGTTTAAGCCACCTGACTCACGGTAATTTTTTACAGCATCCCAGACAGACTAAGATAGTGAAGAATGCCTCCGGGTGTGAAACTGATTGCCTGGAGAATGCTGAAATCCAGGGAAGTGGGCAGCACAGACGTTAAAACACTTAATCCTGCCAGCACAGTTGGAGATAGAGTCTACATATTCCTCACCATTAAAAAGTTAGGAAAAAGAGGCACAAATAAGTAAAATAACAACAACAACAACAATAATAATAAAAATTTCTCCATGACTCACACAGAACCCCCCAGAGGCTGAGTGAGAATTTATACTCAGGCAGGCTGGCCCCGGAGACCCTGCTCATAACTACTAAATCAAATGGCCTGGCTTATGTGGATCTTTTTTTTCAACTGTGATATGACGGTACTGTGTCCAGTAACTTATAACTTCAAAATACCTCACTATAAGGGAATCATTAGTCATGGGCGTTACAAACCACAGAAAGCTAGACATACAAAAATAACCTGCTAGGGCAAGAAAACCACTAATGTTTCTAAACATCATACTTGCTGAGCCTTTGCTGTAAAATGTTTATTTATAATTCTGCCTGGCTACAGAATAACTTCATAATTCTGCAAGTGGCTGGTGGCTCACATGTTGGACAGCACGGGCCTAGAGAACTGAAATGATTTGCTGACCCTCACCCAGGAAGCTCATGTTGGAATCAGATCTACAATCTGGGACTTTTTCTTCTTATCCAGCAAGTCCTTCATGGAGGCCTAGAAGCTTCTCCTTTGGTGCCCAGCTGTCTATCCATGCTTATGACATCTTGTCAGGTGTCCCAGCCTGCCCCTGAACATCAACCAGTACACACTTCTGGTCTTTTCTGACCATGTAATATCTCTTAGCAATTTTGGTGACATCAGTTCTTATCTGGAAGGGTAGTGGCTAGAGATTTAAATGTGTCCACAAGAGCAGACTGACAGATTTTTCATAAACATAGCAGGAGTGGTCAAGAAAAGAAAAAGTCAGGAAGAAAGACCAGCAGAAGCAAGTCATTTAATATACCAAATGAATACTTTCAATGTTTGGTTGTGTTACTGAGTCCAAACTCATTCTGCTTACTGCAGGACAGGCCAATAAATTGGAAGACCACTTTTTGTGGCAAGAAATAGCGTCTTTAATTGGAAAGCCAGCTGACTGAGGAGATGGCAGAGTAATTGTCCTGGAAAACCATCTTCCCCTAGTCACAATTCAGGCTCCTTTTATATTAAAAAGGGGAAGGGGTATGCTTGGTTGTTGCAAACATCTTGGTGTAGGAATCCTTTGTTGTTAGAATCCTTTGTTGTTGCAGCTGTCCACCTGGGTCAGATTCCTGTAAACCTCCAACAAAACAAATGTTATTTTCTGTTCTGCAACATGTTATCTTTATACGAAC